GGCACAGGGTAGAAGGCCCTTGAATGCCAATGTTAGGAATTTAGAATTCTCTGAAGGCACTTGGGAGCCATTGAAAGTTTTTGAGCATGCTGCTTGTAAGTGGCAGGGGAGTGCATAGGTGTGTGCTTGGAGCTGGTTAATGAGGCAGTAAAATAGAGGATGGGCTTTAGTAGGGAGAAACTGACAGCAGCGTGGACACCAGATTTAAACAACTAAAGCAGTTGCCCCCAGGTGAAAGCTATGTGGGCCTAAGGATGGGGAAGAGGATTGGAGGGTAGGGAATGGACATGAGTGGGATTTTACCGTTAAATCAATAAGACCTCACAATTTATTGGAAATAAGGAGCATGAAAGGAGGAGAAATTTAAAAATGGAGCTGAGATTTCAAAACAGATTAACTGGAAGTCCAAAAGAAGGAACAAAGAAGGAGCAGTGAATTTATGTGGGAGGATAAGAGCTTAATTTGAAGATATTGAATTTACGGTACCAAAATTCATGATGTCAGGCTTACAGTTCTTACGGTGGAAAATGGGGGTCAGGTGCTCAGACAAGTCAGAGATTGAGACAAAGATGTAGAAACCATCCACATGGGGATGTCATCCTCATCAACAGTGAGGCCATGCCATGTTGAGCTGACATTGCACATTTGATGGGAATAAGGCTTATCTAGCTCACAATCATGTTTATTTATGTGCTTTTAAAACTTTAAAAATGTAAAAATTAAGCCAACATTTTAAAATCAGGAGATTATACTTAAAATATTGATTTCTGTTTTTTTCTTTCAAAAATCAAAAGATGTAACTATGAATTTGCATTGCCATGTGACAACAGCAAGCTAGAGCTGAACAGAAGCTGCCCCCTTGAGATCCTGGAGGAATTCTAGAATTCACCACAGTTCCCACTACCTCCCATCATCTCCTAGGGCTTTAAGATTAAAAGTCAGTTGCTAAATCTAAAGAGATAAAAAGTAAATGAATGGTTGCCTAGAGCTCCGGGCAGGCAGGGAATGGGGTGCTGGGGGCTGATGGCCAATGGGCATGGATTTCTTTTCAGGGTGATGAAGTGTTCTAACGTTGATTGTGGTCATGGTTGAACAGCTCTGTGAATATGTTAGGTCACTAAATATGAAGTGTCCTATTTCAGATCAAAAGTGTAGTTTATTATATCTCAAACAAGCAGCAGTACAATTAATCAAAGTATGTGCCTAAACTATCAACACAGTTTTGCTATCTTAACAGTAGCTTGTTTATGCCAACAGTGAAGAAGCCTGGAGAGTGAGTGGCAATGAAATCGTGAAAGGCATTTTCCATAACTTGTTGAGAATTGAATATTTTTCCTGGCAAGAAGTGGTCCAAAATCTGGAAGAAGTGGTAGTCAGTTGGTGCAAGGTCTGGGGAATATGGTAGATGACAGAGAGTTTCCAAGTCCAGTCTCTATAGTTCGGGCAGCGTTGTTTATGCAACATGTGGTCGAGCGTCATCTTGCTAGAGGATTGGCCTGTCTCTGTTGACCAATCTCAGCTACTTAAGTCTCTGTTGACCAATCTCAGCTACTTAATTGCAAGCATCCTCATCATTTCATCCAGTTGGTTGCAGTAGACATCCGCTGTAATCAATTGACAGGTTTCATGAAGCTATAATGGATAATACCAGCACTGGACCACCAAACAGACATCATTAGCTTTTTCGCATTAATATTCGGTTTTAGACTGTGTTTCAGCATTTCACCTTTATACAACCATTGTGCCGAATGCTTGCAATTGTCAAAAAGAACCCATTTTTCCATCACACATAACAGTATGGTGTAGAAATGGTTCACCTTTATGTCATGACAGCAAAGAAGGGCAAGCTTTGAGATGATTTCTCTTCTGATGCCCATTTAATTAATGCAGAGCCCATCTATCTAACCTCTTTACCTTGCCGATTTGTTTCAAATGGTCCAATATTGTTGGAATAGTAGCATCAAACTTTGCTGCTAATTTACATGCAGGTTGAGATGGATTCGCTTCCACTACAGCTCTCAGCTCACCATTATCCACCTTGGTCTCAGGTTGCCCACGTGGCTCATTTTCAAGATTAAAATCACCAGAACAGAACTTCTCAACCCATCAACATACTGTGTGTTCATTAGCCACATCCTTCCCAAACACTTCATTGATATTTCAAGCTGTTTGAGCTGCATTGGTTCTACAACAGAACTCATATTTGAAAATAACACGAAATTTTGACTTCTCTATCCATGGTTTCACAAAAATTACTCTAAAAAAAATTTGAAAGATAATCAGAAGCCAAACCATGTGTTTGAAAGACTGAGGATATACCTTCACAATAAAAATAAAACAAGTGTCAAAGTGAAATGTCAGAGATATCAACTGTCAAACTTGGTACTTAAGGAAATTGGACATTTTATATTTAATAACCTTAAGAGTAAAAGCTGTTGAACTGGCTGGGCACGGTGGCTCACGCCTGTAATTCTAGCACTCTGGGAAGCCGAGGCGGGCGGATTGTTTGAGCTCAGGAGTTCGAGACCAGCCTGAGCAAGAGCGAGACCCCGCCTCTACTAAAATTAGAAAGAAATTAATCAGCCAACTAAAAATGTATAGAAAAAATTAGCCGGGCATGGTGGCGCATGCCTGTAGTCCCAGTTACTCGGGAGGCTGAGATAGAAGGATCACTTGAGACCAGGAATTTGAGGTTGCTGTGAGCTAGGCTGACGCCACAGCACTCACTCTAGCCCGGGCAAAAGAGTGAGACTCTGCCTCAAAAAAAAAAAAAAAAAAAAAGCTGTTGAACTATACACTTTAAATAGATGGATTGTGTGATATGTGCATTGTCTCAATAAAGCTGCTTTTAAAATTGAAAATATCGTTGCTGTTGCCCTTGCAGTACTGGTTTTCTTACAGCAGAAAATATTTCTCTGTCAACATGTCTCTATCAAAAAGGAGAAAATGAAAGGTAGACTGAGAGGATTGTGAATTTCAAGAAAAATGAAAAAGACTACATCTCTTTGTAGTAGGAAAGAATTTCTGCATATTAATATGCAAACACCTGTTCTCTTTATTAATGTACATTACTTTCCTAGCCATTGAAAGCACTTGATAAGAGACAGGAAAAAATGTGGTCATGCCCAACTCCTTGAGGTCTACCCACAACTAAGAAGAGAGAGAGAGAGAACAAAGGCAGTGAAGGGAAAGGAGTAATCAACGTGGTAAAAGGAGAAGTAGAAGAAGCCAATAGATTGGATGCCAAGGAAGGGGAAGCTTTGTCAGCTGCTGACAAGAGGTCAAGGAGGATGAGGACAGAGAAGTCAGGAGGTCATGGGAGACCATCCAGCAAGAAAGCCAAGAGTGATGAGGCCAGAGGGAGGTGCAGAGACCCAGAATGCATTATTCAGGAGTTAGCATTTTATCTCAGGCATAGACTACTGAAGGATTTTTAAGTGGGGGAATGATGTGATCAGATCAGAACAATGTAGATCATTTGTTTTCACATTAATTTGTGCATGTTTTGAATTGCATGCATGATGAACCAAGGTCACCTCAAGTTTTATTCTTCCCTATGCTAAGTTCTCCTTCAGTCTGAAATCATCAGGCTTGTTGAGACCCCAGTTATTGATTTCCATCTAATTCATTCCTGTACCTGCTTGAACCAGGAAATATATATGTGGTTGGTGTTTTCTGACCCACGGGTTCCCAACCTCAGCACTGTTAGATTTTGGGCTGCATAATTCTTTGTCGTAGGGTGCTAGCCTATGTATTATAGGATGTTTAGCAGTGTCACCAGCCTCTACCCTCTAGATGCCAGTGGCACTCTCAGTTAAACATTGCCGATGAAATCACCTCTAGCTAAGAACCCTGAACCACATTTGTCTATTGTGGCATTTGGGCCAAGGAGCTTAAGGCCATGTGCTGTTGGTAGAACACGCTGAAATGTGTCTGGCCTGGGAAAGAGGGCCAATTTCTACTCCACACTGAGGGGTGCGAATCAGATGTTGCAGTGAGGACACAACAAATGAGAAACTCAAGGCCTCATTCTGTTTCAGCTAATTCAGTGGACTTCAGCCTCCTCTGTACTTAGTCACCTCATTGAAAAGATATGATTTCTGCAGACTAAACATCCAACTTTGCCCCCCTAAGGCTAAGATTCCTGCCATGGCCCATAGCCAAAGTGGACACAGGATTTCTGAGGCAGCTTCAGGATGTGCTAGATATGATAGTGGGAGCTGCCTTCTACGTGGCAGGACTTGGGAGCTTGCCTCTAAGAAGACAGTGGGAGCACAATGGTTTTCTCCTAGTGCTGTCAAGAGGGATCAGTAAAGCTTGGAGATGTAAGATAGTAGCTGAAGAGCAACTTGGAGTTGACTAGGATCTCAGATAAAGTTTTACTTCAGATCCTCCCCTTATAGGAAAGTCTTAGCAGGTAAAGGAATGCTTCTCTTGGAATAAGGATGTCTAAAACAGATTAGATATGAAACGTTGAGATCTTCCAGATTCCTCTCCTGGGTGTGTGTATACAGGGCTGAGAGAACAAAGGAATTTTATATGTATATGCTGCCATTTCTATATTGATAAGGAAAATTGAGTTAAGTCTCTTATCAAACTAAAAATATCTAACAACTCTATTAAACTGAGACTATTTCATAACCAGCTCTTATTCTGTGGAGCAGCATTATACCTTTCTGCCATGGATATTGAGTGGCTTGATTTATTATTAACAATGGCTCCAAGCTGCCTTGCCATACAACCTCTTGTTGATATATACCTCTGTTATTGTTTAGTCCAGTGGTGGTCACTTTCACTGAGCCGAAGGAAACCCATGCTGGTTTTTATTTTTAGTCTCATATTCCTTAACCCCTCTCCTTCTTCTCTAATTCATCAACTTCCGTGGTAATGAACTAAGCCTCCAAGTACTCTGTGAGCACTGAGTAATGCGTGGACTTGATGTCAAATGCCATCATCAGAAAGGGCATCCATAAATATGATTCTGCCCTGTTTCATTTCAGGCACTTCTGAATCTGGTTGTGTGACAGCTGCACTAGGAAACACCTGGAGTCACAGTGTGAACACCCGGCTGATTCTCCAGTACCTGGATTCAGAGAGAAGACAGGTGAGTCCCTTGGCAGTGTTCTGTGTGAAGGTCGGCAATCTGAGCATCTTCTGAAATTGTTGGCCACATTGTTGGTCCTTGGCCAGCACTGGCAAGGTGGGCATAAAGAAACCAGCATCCCTGCTTGCTCCAACGCAATGGGGAGACAAATCACACACAGGAAAAAAATATAAGAAGAGATCTCATAGAGTTAGCATTCTCCCAATACTCGCAAGTGACTAAAGACCACACCTTTAGGGATCTCGAATTCTCCATGTCTAAATGATGATTTCACTTAGATGATATTTGTTGAGGACTAGATAATTTGTGTATAAATTAAATAGTGATGGTGCTTTTTCTTGGGGTATGTATGCTTTGAAAAACCTTAGGCTAGACAGATCTTGCCAAGCAAATAAACTATTCCACAGTTACTGGGTACTTTTACATTAATGCGCAAGCTTGTAGTTTAAAGTACTGAATGATGCTAGAGAGACCTTCAAAAGAATGATGACTTTGTCAGAGCTCCCTATTATGGCTTCTATCCTGACCTCACGTGACAATCTCCCCACTTCCATCCAGGAAGGCGACCTTTCTATTCCTTTTTGAATCTTCTCTCCCCACTACAAAGAAAGAGACACCACTGTCTGACCCCTTTGGTAAAATATTTCATAATCAGGAAATTTTTTTTCCTGATGTCTAACATCAACTTTTTCCTGCTGTGTAAACACATGCAATCACTTGCAAGCAGGAGCAAAAAGATGGAGTGATTGTTCTGATTTTTTGGATAGGACAGAATTCAGAACCCACATTTGCCCATCTTGCTAAATATGTTAATATGTCAAATTAAAAAGGCATGAAATATTGCACTGGTCATCCTTTGTGGAGGAGATGGTGGGAAGGGTGTTGCTGCCTTTACCTGCATTAGGTAAACTGGTTCTTTTTTGAGGAGACAGGAATCATCAAAAACAACATGAGCTATTATTGCCTGTTCCGGGCATAACTTTCTGCATACCGTTGGTTACAGACCAGAGGATTCTTCTTGGTTTGCTTGGTGATCAGGTCAGCCATCTCCTGAGAAGATGAGGCTGCTGGTTTCCTTTCAGGGAAACATTCTTGAGTATTCGTGGATTCATTACCTCAGTGGTACCTTTTCCCTGATGATTCGAGTATCTTGGGCTCTAAATCCATTACTTCTCTTTTTGGTGAAACATATTCAAAAATATTTCTGGAAAACCTAATAACCTTCAGTTTGTACTCTAGGTAGTAAATCATGTTAAATAAACCTTGTTTTAGCTTTCAGATCATTAAGGATTGTCAAGCACTGCTATCTAAACTCTGTTAGAGGAAGCAAAATTCCTTGTGAATCAGCGTTGAGTCATTCATTTCCATGGATCCTTGACCTACTCCTTGAAAACTTGTAGTTTATCTCTGTTTTAGATTTTAGATAGCATTCTTACCATAACACACTGGTTTTGTGATTTGGTCTATTATATATGGTAGCATGGATTCAAGGCTCCCAGATTCTAGTTTTATAAATTCCAGTTTGAATGTATAAGTAAATAAAGAATTGAGAGTTACATTTTAATTTTCCTTTTGTTTTAATAAATTAACCAGTGTCAACAGGAAGTGGCTGGTAGGACAGACGCTATTAATATTATTTTATGTCTCTTTGGTGACTGGAGGATGTTGATGGCTCTTGGCTCTTGGCTCTTGGCTGGTAAGGTCAAAGGCAGGACACTGGTCACAGGAAGAACCAGGAGCAAAGTGTGGATGCATCGGTGATAGTCTATCAACTCATATCCTCTTAGATGGGTCAGTGGTGTTATCTTAATTTACAGAGAACAACATGATATTATCATTACTAATCAATCAGAAGCAGACTTAAATGTCTTTGAATCATGTTTTCAAACAATAATTAGAAATTAATGTAAAATATAACCAGTGTTAAAATGGCCAACTCAGGGAAAGAACATATATTTAATCAATCTATAGAAATAGGCATGCCTTGTGGGACCAGTTGTTAAATTTGCAGCCTAATATGAGGATAAAGTTTGATATACAAAATATGTCTCTATCTGATGACCTTATCTTGCCTTAGCAGAGGGTTTACTTAGTGATTCTCTGAGTCTTTCCTGTGATCTTATTTCATGACAATCTATAAAAGCCATGTGAAGATAAGCCTTTTCTGGGATACATGCACAAAAGAATAACGCTAGCCTTTAAGGTAATTGCACCAAATAATACTTTCTTATAACATTACTTAGTAGGAGAACATACCTGGATCATTCTAGGGTAATCAGACCTCCAGGACACCAGCCACTTGGAAAAGATACTAGGTATAGTTTTTTTCTATTGGTTTTTTTTTTTTCTCTCCCAATGTACAAGCAGAGGCCACTACACCAAAGGATCAAGGTTATGGGATGAGGATTATGTTTTATCCCGTTTCTATGATATTGAGCTCTACACCAGGACTCTTGAATGTGAGGCTTAGCCTGAGATCACAGGCCTGGAAGGGGATCAGGTCAAGCTGCGCAGATCTTTGAGCCGATTAACCCAAGAGCTGAATTGTGTAGTCCAAGGAAAGGCGTCCTCCCTGCCTGATTATTTTCTTTACACCCTGGAAACTTTGTAAAATTATATAACCAAGAAAGAAATCTCCTTATCAGGGCACAAGCCAAGTTAATTCTCTTGTTTATTCTGCATCAGTGTTTGCAAAAACCCTCTTAAGAAGCTGGGAAACATTTTCTTTTGGACTAATTTAGCTTTTTTTCCATTTGACTTTTATTTACTCTTTTCCAGCTCTGCTTCAATCCTACCCCACCCTTTCTGCAACATTTTTATTCTTACCAAAGACATGTCCTTAGGGCAGAATTAAAATGACCTCTACTAGGTTTTGTTGTTATTGTTGTTTTAAATCATCAAAAATATGTTTTGGTCTACCCTATGCATGGCATGGGGATACAAAGAAGTAGAAGACACAGCTCCTGCCCCTGGGGTCCTCTGGTCTAGCACGGAAGATCATACACACACACGCACACACACACACACACACACACACACATATATGTACACACACTCGCTCATGGGTAATCAAAATGCAGTGCAGGAGTTAAAGAACAAACTATACTGAAGTACTATCACAAGGCAGTGTTTCATTAATTATCTAATGAGTGGTTAAAACTAACCGCTTTGAATCCAAAGGAAGGTAGAATCAGCAGCAGCATATTAAGTCTTTTCAGGAAGAGGTGGGATTTGAGGACCACCTTAAAATCGATGCTTCTCAAACCCGGCTGCACTTTAGCTCATCACAAGACATTTATATAATACTAATGCCAGGGCCCCTCCCTGACCCATCAAATCAAAATCTCTGCCCATGGGGCTGGGCATCAGTGTTTATTTTATTTGTAAAATTCCCCCAAGTGATTTCAGTGTGCAGCCAAGGTTGAGAACCTCTGCCTTAAATAACAGGTAAAATTTGGTTAGTCAGAAAGGGGAGGTGCTGGGGTGGGGCGAGCGGCAGCAGAGGAAGAGCAAGAGGGCAGTCTACATCGTCAGAGGGCGCAGGCTGAGTTTTGCCTTGGAACAAGAGCAAAGGGTTTGGGCACTCATTCATTTGACAAACCTTTATTTAATCATCTCTTCTCTGCTAGTTACTGTGCTAACTAGATGCTAGAGACTCAAAGATAAGTAAGAGATGGTTGATGCCCTCTGATCGTTCACAGCCTGCTTGGGGAATCAGATAAACATGTAAACAGGACTGTAAGAGCGCTGTGAATTAAGTCAGCGTAGAGGACATGGAGAACCCTACAGCTAAGGAAGGTTCTGGAGCGATGAGATGAATGAGGCAGTGGCATGCAGGGCAGACTGGCCGAGGCTTTCACTTGGGAAACTCTCGAGGTAACCGCGTGCTTTGTAGCAAGGGCTGGAAAAGCTCGAGTGAGGCTGGTTATACTTGAAAGAAGGATGAAAAACTCGATGAAACATTCGCATTCATACTATTTCTCATCAAATCCTCATGAAAGCTCTTCCTATAAACCAAAGATGGGGTTATATAAGTTTTCAAGTGCCCTAGAAGGAGTAATGAAGTAAATTAATCCTGACTCGGTCTCACACCCCCTTGATGAAGTAAATATTATGACTCTCTTATTTCAACAAATTGGAAAGAGGTGACTTTTTCATATAGGAGGTTTATTTAAATGTACTTTATAATAATATTTTCATCTTCTATTTAGAAGGCACCCTGAAGTTACAGAACACTTGAAGGGTGACCCTAAAGTGCCTGGTAAATTGTTGACAGGACCACTAATATTACTCCAGCTCCTGATCCAGGCTTTTCTCAAAGCCTCAGGTTGTTTTACGTCTTAGAAGTATTTGGTGTTTCCTTTCTGGTGATATAATTCTTCTCTCAGTGTCCATCTTACATTTTCAAAGACTCAACATCATCACTGTGAAGACTTCCCTGACACCCAGAAGGATCTGTCCCTCTTCCCTCTGGCCCACATTTGCACTTGGCACTTGTCTCTGTTCTTGTGATTTTGAGCCCTGAATCATGAGCCCTTGAGGTCTGTGACTGGATTTATCTGTGTACCTTCAGAGGCAAGGACAATGAGTGACACTTACATAGCTGATACATTCATTTTGAAAGAGAGAGAAAGAGAAAGAAAGAAACAGACTCCTTGTATCCATGTGTGAATCCAGCCTAGAGGATGAAGGACATACTTGTTTAGAATCCTCTTCCCCAGGAATTGAGTTTTATAGTTTAATCATTCCGTTTAAAGTATTATTAATTGTCAGTTGAAAAGGTTAGCATCAAACCTTGACAATTACAAGCAGATACCTATATAGAAATACTATAAGAAAACCAAATATAGGAGTGCCTTTTTGCAGAACCAGCCTGCTGGGGACTATGGAAGATGGGAGGCAGACTTCCCCTGGGATCCTTACGGGAATTCCTTTGTGTAAGCAAGTCAGAGCCCTAAACACAGACCTAGGCTGAGTAAGGGAGGGATCCTGCAGCTGCT